TCCCCCTCATCTCCTCCTGTAGGGGTTTGTCAGTAACATGCAGAAAGGCTGTTGCTGATTTTTGTGGGTTAATTTTATATTCTGCTACTATACTGGTTAATTTTGGTTAATTTTTTAGTTGCATCTTTATGGAGTTCTCTAAGCAAACCATCATATCATCTACAAATAGTGATAATTTGGTGTCCTTTTTGTGTGAACTTACTCTTTCAGTTTCTTTTTCTTGTCTTGCTATTATAGCTAGCATTTCTAGAAGTATATCTGATAATGATAATGACATTGGACATCTTTGCTTTACTCCTGATCTTACATTCAATTGGTTGTTCCTGTGTGCAGAGGTGGCCTGAAATCTTTTGGATGATTTTGGATCTAACTTAGCAGGCCTTGCTGTGTTGAAGGGTTTGGTATAATCAGTACAATAATATCCACAAATAGGAATGTCTAGAGGATTTTGCCCCTCACCAGGGAATCCATCTTCCATTTGTTTTTTGTTTTCTTTTGTTGTTTTTTTTTTTTTTTGCGAGGAAATGGGGTTAAGTGACTTGCCCAGGGTCACACAGCTAGTAAGTGTTATATGTCGAGGCCGGATTTAAACTCAGGTGCTCCTGACTCCAGGGCCGGTACTCTATCCTCTGCGCCACCTAGCTGTCCCCCATCTTCCATTTGGACCTTGCTCTGGATCTTGTTTGTGACAGTGGTTAACACTTTCTGCAAGCATATGGCTTCTTGTTTTGTCCTTTGATTGATGTTAAAAATCTGAGGGCTAACCAACATTATCCTGTTGTCACATCTTTCAAGGAATGTTGCATAATCTTGACATAAGTGTGGAAGGTACATCGTTGAAAAATTATCTTTAGGATGGCTTTTGGCCATACCTAATCCTATGCCTTTTTATAGTCAATAAGTGATAAGCACAGCTGCAGCTTTTATCTTTTGCACTTTTCAGTAGTTTGTGTGAATAAAGATGTAATCTCCTGTTGAATGTTATTTGTGAATATCTGCTTTTTTCCTTCTCGTATCTTTATGAAGGACGTTCTGAGTGTGTGTAAAAATTATTTTCATAAAGATTTTGTAGATATGGGAAAATAAGCATTTGGGTTGGTAGTTACTGATTTTTCTTGGTTGCCATTTTTATTAACAATAAGGCCTGAGATTTTTAAAAAATGAAACTGAATTTCTATTACATACTGCTTGTTTTTATTTTTTAAGTACATTTTAAATTTACTACAGCAATAGCAACACTATTCAGCTTGTCTGTGTTCCCTTCTGAACCTACTTCTGTTGTCTTCTGTGGATTTTAAAAATCTTAGTGTGGCAGGGCATCTGGAGATGAGTTTCCACAGGGAGAAATCATAAGATCTTCAGCACCTGTCTCTGGAAAAAGCAAGAGTGTCACTGCCTCAGGAAAAGACAGGCTGCCCTTCCCTTGTCCTGAAGGAAGGGGAGGGAACACTTCAGGAAGAGGGGCAAGAAGTGAACAGGTAAGTGTTACCTAGTATGCTGAGCAGAGAGCTGAGTGTTGGTGTGATAGTGTAAACTGGTCCAGTGTGAGTTTGGCTTGTGGGTTGAATGGGAGAGATGCCCAGTGATTTGAGTGATGGTAGAAAGACTTTGAAATTATAGGAGGGACATGTAGAGGTGGCCACTAGGGCTCTGGGGAGCCACCTTCTCCCACTGTAATAACATGACACACGCCTGGTGCCTAGATCAGAGGCAAGAGAATGTAGGAGGATGGCAAAGTGGTTGGTCTCCCACTTTTTTTGTGCAAGAGAATAGAGGTTGATTCCAAAGTTTTCCTTTTTTTTTTTTAAAGTTTGTTTACACTTTCTGTTTTAATTAATACCATGACTGCCTTGGATAAAGATACTTTTGATCACAAACTTTAGTCTGAGCATTTCATTATTTGTGACTGGGGAGTTCCAAAAGAGTGACTGACATATAATACGTGAAAGAGAGAATGAACTAAATTACCAGGATGGAAGGAATTTCTACTCTGCACTGTACCCTACCTTGGCTGGGGTCTCAGGACCTATATAAGAAAGAATCTTATTGATATTGATTTCTCTTCTTAAACTTCCCAATGTGCAGCAAGTGTGGATTTGAGTCTTCTCTCCTAGGAGCTAAAACTCTCCGTGTTTCTCTGGTTGGTGGACTGGACCATCAAATCACATTGCTTTCTCCATGTATTTCCTTTATACATGCCTCCAAGAGAAATTTTTCAGGACAGAAGAGCATTTTCGCAGAAGCAAGGGAAGGAAAGAAGACTTGGTGGTCAGCAGTATTAAAAGCTATAGAAAGGTCAAGGAAAATGAGTAATAAGAAAAGTCTCTTAAATCTAGGAATTAACAGATCATTGGTAACTCTTAAGGGTAACTTATTGTGTTCTAAGAAATGGTGAAAGGGATGGTTTCAGGGAAACCTGGGAAGACTTGTATAAATAATGAAGAGTGAATGAAGTAAGAAGAATCAGGAGAACAATGTATACATTGTTGTATAGACTAACAACTTTGAAAGACGTAAAAACTGTGATCAATGCAATGATCAACCATGAGGATTCATGATGAAGCTTGCTACCTATATCTTGTTGGAAAGGTGATGGATGTAGAATGCAAAATGAGACATACTATTTTTGGACATGGCCAATGTGGGAATTTGTTTTATTTGACTATGTATGTTTGCAACTTGGTTTTTTTCTTAATAGCAGGGAGGTGGTAAGGATAGAAGATGGATGTTTTCTTGGGAAAATTTTTTTTTAAGAGTAAGGAGATGGGAAAAGTTTGTGGTAACAGAAAAGAAATTTCAGAGGACATGGTGGAATGGTCTATGAGATGGATTATCCTATTGAAGTATGGATAATTAGTATAGGAATGAAGCCTTGTGAGGAGATGGGATGGGCTTATTAGCCAAGAAGCATATGATTGGATTTGGAGATTTGATGCAGTAAGAGGTGAATTGGTTTGGCATGCTTCACATGCAGACTATTACTGCTAGCAGTTACTCTACCACAAAATTTGAAATAGAATTTGGTTGGTGTTTTGGAATGTGTCCCTTGAAAGCCTTCTTCCTTGGGGCCCTGTCACTGGTTCCCTTTAACGGTAAGAGATGCTCTTACATCAGGAGGTCAGGAAAGCTGGAGAAATGGCCAATATCCTTGGAGAAGCTCCTCAAAATCACAGATTTGGATCTACTTCCTTCTCATCTCTGCCTGTGCCAGATGTCCTGCTCTTTCCATCTCTGCTCCCGTTTAGCACAATCCTAGGCACCTAGTAAACTCTTAATAAGAAGCTTCTTGCCTTGGTTATTACCTCTTCTTTCAATCTACTTATGGCATTTGAGCTGTTTTGAGATTATGGAGGGCCTAGAAAAATAGGAGTTAGATTTTTATGATTAGTCCCCACATAATTTACATGGGAAGACACTGATCTTGCAGGTCCTTAGAACACTTGGCTTGGTTCTGGAGGTAGTCTGGGTGTTCCTACGTGGTGTAGGCAGCACCTACAGATTTTGGTTTATGGGATGAAACCAAGATTCCAAAGAGCTCTTGAAACAAACTTAGTCTTTTAGAAGTTCTCTTGTAAAGGGTTAACTTGGGCCTATGGGATCATTTCCTGCAAGAACTAGGCCGATAAAGAGAGAGAGTACAGTAACTAGGAAGGTCAGGAAGTGTTAGTTGCTTAATGGGGGATATGACTTAGAAATCTCAAGTATTTTGTGAAGTTCTGGGCCTTATAACTCTTAGTTTCTAAATCACTTCATATAGATGTTGCTGTCTTAATTTCTGATGATATGGATCCTTGTGTACCTAGCCAGATTCTGAATGGCATCTTTAGACTCTTGGTGATTTTTTTTTTTAATATAGTTGAGGTAGCCTAACTTATTAACCTGACTTTTCCTTGCTGGGAAAAAGGCAACAACAGCAAAAACCAGGTCTGATTTCCTTTTGGTATATTATTTCTTGTTACTGCTGAGACTGGGGGAATAGTGGTTGGGGAAAGCTTTGTGGGAATATTTTAGGACAACCTATTTTGATGGATTCATCTTCTTGCTATTAAGGATTACACACATATATATGTATATGTGTGTATATGTATGTGTGTGTATGTAGCGTTGATGCATTTCTACCTCTTTGAATTTATTTTTATAATTGAACTTTATAGAGGAAAGATATTTTTTGTTTACATTGCCAATCTCACTTCATCATTTTTCTGCTTTCAGAATTTAGTTCCAGAGTCCAATCTATATTACTAAGTAATTAAAATTTCGTTCCAGAAATATAATAATAATTGCCCTATTATCATATTGCAGCAGCATGGTGTGGAAAGGGTACTAGATTAGGAGTTGGGAGGAAAGAGTTTAAATGTTCCAATGCTATTAGTTGTGCAGCCTAGGACAACTCACTGAACCACTCAGCTTCAGGTTCCTCATCTGTAAAATCTGTAAAATGAGTTTACTACTTACACTACCTACCTCATAGAGCTATTTTGAGGAAAGTACTTTGTAAACATTAAAGCATTATACAAGTATGAAGTATATTTTATTCTTCTTCTTTTGTCAAAGTCTTACCCCTCTACCTTATCATGGCACTCTGACCTTGGGTTCTTGCAGACTATGCTAGAAGAGTATAAAACACTGGCAGTTTCTCTATAGTGGGAAGTCTGAATATGGAGATGAGCTATATGACTTTCATCTAAGGATCAACCTAATTAACTTTGTAGAAGTTCATCACCAGATTGGAATGGAGCAATTAATTTTTTGGCCACAGAAAATTACAAATTACATGTATTAAGCCATAGAAGGATTATGATATGCATTGGTGGCAGAAGTACCTTTCATTGATCTTTGAAATATTATTAAGTTCTCATTTAATGAAAGAAACAAAATATTTATTAGAATTAAAATAATAGAGCTAAAATGTTCAATACTTTGAGTAATTTTAAGACACTTCAGAAGGCAGAGTGATAAACAGGATTTGTCTCTTAACATACTGATCCTTTTTTCTAAAGGCATGTAGACAGAGAAGGATGTCCCAAAGATTATGATATAGATGAATTTCCCATGGGCTCAAAAAATCTGTGTAATTCAAGTTATTGGAGGTTTGGAACAAAGGATGCTATGGTAAGTTACTTGTATTTTTAAAAAAGTTTTATGTAAATATTTAATTATCAAACATTTATTTTTTATTCCTTCTATTTTTCTTCCCTACTGAAAACAACAACAAAAGAAATATAAAACTCTCGTAACAAATAAGCATTGTTAAACAAAACAGATTTCCACATTGGCCGTGTCCAAAAAATGTGTCTCATTTTGCATGTTAATTCATCACTTCTCTATCATGAAGTGAGCAACATTCTTCATTATTGTCATTACCACTATTTAATGTAGTCCTAGAAATGCTGGCTAAAGCAATAAGGCAAGAAAAAAATTGAAGGAATGTGCATAGGCAAAGAATTAATTTTTAAAATTTGTTTTAAGAATCTTCAGCAAGAGAATAAAAAATAAGAACCTTATTATGTATAATTTATTATTCATGGATTTGTACACATTGTGGATAAAATAATGATATCCTCAAGCATAATTATCATATAAAAGAGATGTCTTAAGGAGGAAAGCTTTGATTAACTGGAATGCTAGGGAAATTGGATATTCTGGTTAATTTAATTTATTTATGAACTCAGAACCTATCAGGGACTAAGAAACTTTGTGAACCAAGACCCCACAAGAAGCCTAGAATCCTGCTTGTGTCACATGAATACCTTTAGCTGTAGTACCTCGTTAATGAGAAAATTTTGTTTTGATTTTGTTGTTGTTATTGTTGAGCATTTTGATAAAAATGAATAGCTGACATTCCCCTATTAGTAAGAGTATGCAGAATATAATTTGATGTTTCTTAGGTGATCAAATTTCATGGTGCAGGAGTAAAGAAATGCAGAATTAGTGTAGAAATGTAGGAGCTAGGGGAAGATGTATAACTCTCCTAAGACATATTTGGAAGTTTGTACTTCACTTATTCATTCAGTTGCTCAATTTCCATGCATTCATTCAACAAACTTTTTTTTGAGGGTCTACTCTGTGCATTGCTCTAGGGACTAGGAGAATATAAGCATGAATAAGATACAATTCCTATCTCCAAACTGAATATAATCTAGTAATACCAACAATACCAACAATAGTAATATCTCATATTTCTAGGACAAATACAAGAATGGCTATAATGCACAATAAACCATTATTAAGGCAGTCTTTAGCTGCATTACCATAGTAATACTGTTGAGGATTAGGGAGATGATGACTCTTTGGTATTCAGCTCTGGTCAGACCATTTCTCGGCAGCACATTTTAGGAAGGACATTGATAACCTGGAGAGTGCCCAAGTTGGGTAACCAGGATGGTGAAGGACCCCTAGATCACACCACAAAAGAGGTGATTCTTCTTTAGGTGTCAGTTGAATGAGATGGACCTTTAGGCCTCTTCCAGCTCTGACACCGTATGATTCTGTGACTTTGTTCTATAGGCAATGGAGGGCAGCTAAAGATTTTTGAGTAGGAGGTTATGTGAGATGAATCTCTGATATTAGTTTATTTCTTAGGATTTGCCTTTTCTCATAGAGGGAAACAAAAAAACTTTATCCAAATACTGAGACAGAGATCTGGGATCATATTGGTTTGGATGTTCCCTCCAGTGATGTAGCTGGCAGTCCAGTCATGCCTGCCTGTCCTGTGTGCCTCTTGTCTGCATGGGCCATCTTGTTGGATGGTCCCCATAGAGGTTCCACCCCATGTGCTGGCAGCCTTCCTCATTCTCTCCTAACATCGTGAAGATACCAGTGGAGGAGTCAGGCTGTTTGTTCACTTGTCCTCTCTCACCTTTGCCACATGACCAGCCCATCTTCTCTTCCCAGATTTCTTCTAGGAGGCTCTGCAGTATTTCAATACTTGGTGTAACCTGTATAAGGTACTCTCCAAACAAGAGCCTCTGGAGGTTCTTGCCCTTTACAGGAAATCTCTCTTCAACTTGAACTGTGTGCTAGGTCTCTTCCACTTTTGTCTAGCATATCTAGCCTTGCTTGATGCTTATGATCAGAAGATAATTGAAAAAAGGTTATCTTTTATTATTATATCTTTTAAGAAATCTTAAATTAATTTGAGGTGTGGATGACAAACACTTTGTTGGAAGAAAAACTGTAAGGCAGCATTTTGCTCCACTGAATCAAATACTTTTTCATAATCAACAAACAATAAGCACCATGGGACCATATATCTTCTACATCTTTCAGTCAGTTGGCTTGACATTTCAATAAATCTCTTCTTCACCCCAAACACCTGTATGGACTTTCTGACTTATGGTTTGCTGTAAAATCTTGAACTATTCTGGAAAGAAACAGGTTTGGAGTTGTTAAAAGAGATGACTTCCTTCTCATATGGTCTGAATAAATTCCAGGAGTATCAGAGGGCAATATCCCTCCAGATCATGGCTTAGTCCCTTGCTAATCCTCTAAATGTAGGACTGGGTACTCAATCCTCTTCTCCTCAAGGGTCTGACATCGTCCAGGGACCTCCCCTACCCCTAACTTCTCTTTCTAGAAGGCTTGGGCCCGTGAACTTTCCAGAAAATTGAGATTTTCTCTTGAGAAACTCCTACCGCTTGGCCATATGTTTCCATTCTTCTGGAACCATGTAGCTGAGAGTAAGTGTAGATACATTATGCCTCTGTTGATGTCTCTTTATGACATGTTCAGGAATTTGAGGTCCAGGAACTCTTTTTATTCCATGGATTGCTGCTGTGTTTTGATGCCGCTGCCGCTACACAGATGCCATCTCTGAGGATTGTAGGGGGAAAGAAAGGAAGGAATTGGTTGATTGGTTCCTAGGGAGACTGTGCTAATGTATGGGAAACTTCTGGGGATCAAAGTCCACTCTCTGAGGACCAAAGGCTCTGATCTCTGAATCTCTGCATTCACCTATCTCTGCATCTCTCTGAAAAAGAGGCCATTGTAGGACTGTCATCTTTCTTTTATAGGGCTAGTAAAAAGGATGGCTCTTGTACACAGATGCCCAAGGCAACCAAATTATCGCCAATCATCTTCACTGACTCACTTATTCTTAATGAGTTGTGACTGGGTTGACAAGTCTTCTAGACCCAGGAAATATCCTTAATCTTCTCATCAAGGGCTTGTCTACGCTTCATAGGAAGATATTTTTGTTGTTGAGTCATTTCAGTTGTGTCCGCCCCATTCAGGGTTTTCTTGGCAAAGATGCCAGAGTGGTTTGCCATTTCTTTCTCCAGCTCGTTTTACAGATGAGGAAACTGAGACAAATTTGATTTTTATTTTCTGTTGACCTTTTATCAGCTTTCTTGATTTTATTATTTGCCACTTTCATAGATGTTTTTAGACCTTGGAGGATGTTTTGAGCTCCTCCAGTTATTGCTTTCTCTTTGGGCGTTTAAAAAAAAAACCAGCTTTCAAGTGCTGCTTTAACTTATTTAATATGCTTTGATTGCTCCATGGGAACTTCTTCCAGCCTGACCATTAATTGTTCAGTTTGGGTTTTACTGCAGAAGTTCTTTCCTGAGTTGTAGATTTTCTTTTATTTGCTCCTTATTTTTCTGTTCTACGATAGAAGCAGTGAAAATGGCCTTGGTACGAACTGAAGATGCTCTGCTAGGAGGGAACCTTTTGTCCAATTTGGGGATGGGGGCTTAGTTGCACTCTCGAGGGAGTCTCAGGGAGTCTTAGATTTTTTTGGGGAAAAAAGTGTCAATGCTTTTTTGTCTTTTTTAAAACATAGCCATTTCAAATCTCTTTACCTGTAAATTGAACTCTGACAAAGAAAAACATCTGAGCAAAAATATCCAAGATGTTTTCTGCATTTGACATGATAGGTATTATTTTGCCATAGTAATCTTCCAACTTTCTGTCATGAGAGAGGAGAGATATGTTCATTTTTGTTCTTTTGGACCTTTATTGGTTTTACCATTACTCAGAGTTTGATTTCCTCTTTGTGACTTTTTCACTTACTGTGCATTATGTATACTATCTTCTTGGTTCTACTTATTTTGTTTTACAATCAGTTCCCATAAATCTTCCCATGTTTTTTTCTGAATTCTTCGTATTTGCAATTGGTTTTTGCACAATACTATTTCATTATATTCATAATACAGTAGAAAGAACTTAAGGCCTGTACAGAGACAAGGGACCTTGTTCTGCTGCTTCTTGCTTATGGAACCTTGGACAGAACACTCAATCACCTTTGGCCTCAGTTTCCTCATCTGTCCCTTGCAACTCTAGATCTATGATCCTGTCAGTCTCTGGATGTATAATAGTATTTAAAGACTATTCCTCAATCTATGGGCCTCTACTTTGTCTCCAATTCTTTGCTACCACAAAAGTGCTGCTTTAGTCTTTGTTTCTGCCTTTTACTTCTGTGGGGAATATTCCTGGTAGGATTTCTGAACCAAAGGATATGAATGAGCCAATCACTTCTGTCGCATAACTCCAAACTGAAAATACAGAAATTCTGGGCCATTTCATAGCTCTTTCTGCAGCATATCACTGTGGCCTTCTTACTACAGACTTACTCCAACATTGATTGTTCTCATCTTTTGTTATCTCTGTCAATTAGTGTGGTGTGAGATGAAGCCTCAAACGTGTATTAATTTGTATTTCTCTTACAGTTAATAATTTGGAGTATGTTTTCATGTGGTCATTTATAACTTGCAATTCTTTGAGAATTTGGACTGCTTATCTATTGGGAGATGGCTCTTGCCATATATATTTTTGTCAATGTTTTGATTATTTCTCCTCATCTTTTGGACTGAATAGAAATAATAACAGCTAATAGCTAGCATTTATATATCACTTTAAGATTTGCAAAGCACTTTACAAATATTAATTCTCATTTGATCCTCACAACAACCTTTCGAGGTAGGTGCTACTATTATCTCTATTTTATATCTGAAGAAGACAAAGGTTATGTGGTTTGCCCAGGATAACATAACTAATAAGTGTCTTTAAATTCAGGTCTGCCTAATTCTAGATCCAGCCCTATATCTACTGCTCTTCCTAGATGTCTCTAAACAATACTGGGGAGGTGTTTGTTTATTTGTTTGTTTGTTTGTTTTTTGAGGATATGGGGAATGGACTGGGATGGAACCAAATTAAAGATGGCCTGAGCCTTTTCATATCTCCAAGGCATGCAGGTTTGGGTCATAGGTTAGGTCTTAGCCCTCAGCACCTCCCTTGTCTTGGACTATGGAACACTCTGTCTTCTCCCCTTATCTTTTCTGAATTTTTTTTAGTGTCTTGTCTCTTATTTGCCTATCTTTCCTCTTCTATTATTGATTGTCCATTCCAACTCTAGAGATGTCATATATCCTTTGTTTTATCTTATTAAGTCACTCTGAAGAGTCTTGAAATAGATCCATTTTCAATTTGGTTTTTTTTTTATTCTTTCTGATGACCACACTTCAGTTTCTCTTACAACATAATGTTTATTCATCATGTTGGAATTTTTTTGGCTTGTTTATTTCTTCAAGTTGACTTATTTTTTCTGAGATAATTTTCCTTGTGAGAATTTTTTAAAAATAAAATTTGGTTGTCTTTTCATTTTGATTGGGGGCATCTGGTTCCTCCTCACTGAAGAGGACTTTTCAAGATAGGAATAGCATTTTTCTGAAATATGATTCCTTTGACAGATCATAAATACTTTTAGATTTGTGTTTCCATCAGAAGATAGTCACCAATGCTGCCTTTGATTGGCTGTGATTGACCAAAATGAAATCCATTTCATCTTGAGTGTTCTGCATTTTCTTTGTGTTTGTTTCTTCCTTTTCAACACAAAGTTGATCAAATAGTTCATTAATGGTGGGTATCAACATACACCTGACTTTAATTTGTGGGACAGCCTGACATCTTAAAATGCCAGCTGGTAAATTTTTTCAGGAAGGTGTTTTCTTTTCCTATCTGAGAATACAATGAAAGGCCCAATACCATATCCCTTAATACTAGGATAAAGACTCAGATAGTCAGTGTCTGGGCAACTATAGATAAAAGTGGCCAGATAAGAAGCTGAGAGGAAAGATCAGAAAGCTTGGACTTCAGGAAGCCTCAGACCTAAGGGAGCCAAAGGTCAAAGGAATCTCATGCTTCCAGTCTCTAGAATTGAATACAAAGAACTGGGATATAAGAGAATGGTGTCACAGAACCAAGAACAGAATACAAGAGAATGGCTAAGACAGGAGAGCCATAGTTACTGTGTGTTGCCTGGCCTTGAATAAATGGAAGGCTTTTCTAATTCTATCGTGATGCCACCTCCACCTTTCCCTATGGTTAGGGGTTCCAAGCATTTAAATAAGTGGATACCTTCCATTTTTAGTCAGAAACATTGACAATAGTGGGCATACAGGTGTTCATCCAATGGTTCAGGGCTGTATCTCATTCTTAGATTTGAAGAGGTGATTTGCCCCTGGAGGTGGAGGGACAGGGTTCTCCATCACATACATGTATACCTCAGGATTACAGTTTTCTATACTAGGATCTCTCATGGGCCCAATGTGAGTTCTAAAGGTCATCTTCTTCAACATTGCTATTTCATGGAGAAATGAAATAAAAATGAATGAATAGAATTTACTCTCCCCCTGAGAAACGAAAAAGGGAAACAAAAGAGGCAAAAGAAGCTATTGTTTTTCATTATTAAAATAACACCTTCCATTGTTATTTAAAATAAATATGGTTTTCTCTTTTTTCAGCCACACATTGGATCTAAATTAAGTAATTTGGGGGGTTATCAGAGGATAGTTGAAATCAGTGGAGTGCCTACTTTAATAGAAACGTTTTACTGACCTTTTTGCTAGGTCATTTATTTTCCTTATGCGTAACTCTTGTTTTTCCAGCCTTGGAAATCAGAAGCACACGAACAGATGGAGCAATCTTATGTAAACAAAGAAGTTGTGGAAAGAAGTAGTTTACCCCTGCTGAATAATGACACATTTGACTCTGGGATTATTGAACGGTATTTTTAATATTTGTATTTATTTATATAGAGCATGAACCTTAAAGGTAGGACTTGTTCAAGAGGTCAGTAAACTTGTGCTCAAGTCTTTTCTTTTGTACACATGTGTGATTTCAGTAGTGTAAGGAACTTCCTGGGTGAAAATTCCTTCATAGACAAGGATCAACAATTTATAGTTTCATGGAGTTGCTTATGGTAGGCTTTAAATAGTAATATAAAATAGGGAATAGACATAATTATCTAAATGATATCCCCCGAGACTTGCTGTGATTGAACAACTGCTCACCGTTATTTCAACCTGGTGATGAATCTTTGTAAATTTAACTTGATTAGTTGGTCTTTGGGCAACAGGTATGCAATTCATAACCAGCCCGTAATCTTTAACCCTTGATGCCTGCCCTGTTGGCATGGTTTTCAAGACCTCAGGGTTATCTCCAAACCATAATGAAACATCAGAAGAATATTTTTGAGTGGAGATGAAAAGGAAATACAGAAAAACATGAGTTATGGTCATGCCATATAATATGTAAATATTACACTAGTTTATATGGTATTTTAATAACAACAAAACAGTAAGCATATATTGAGTGTCTACTGAGTAAGATCTACTGTAGAGGGAAAATATATTTAGATACGATGAAGATCTTTCCTTCATGGACTTTATAATTTACTAGGGGGACACAGTGCATAGATAACTATAATACACAATACATATTAGAAAGGAGGAAATGGTTATGTCAGGTATTATGTAACCAGAATCAATAGGACTTAGCAAAATTTTAGGGTATGAAAGTATTTTCCTCTCTATTGTTGTTCAGTCATTTCAGTTGTGTCTGATTCTTTGTGACCCTATTTAGGAATTTCTTGGCAAAGATACGGGTGTGGTTTGCCATTTCCTTTTCCAACTCATTTTACGGAGGAGGAACTGAACAGGGTTAAGTGACTAGCCCGGGGTCACACAGCTAGTAAGTGTCTGAGGTCAAATTTGAAGCCAGGTCATCCTGACTCCAGGCCCAATGCTTTATCCACTACACCACATAGCTGCCCCATTTTCCTCTCTACATAAAATTTTCTAACATTTTCTTTAATATAGTCATTTTTAAAATAGTTATTAAATTCACCTTCAAATAAGTTTTTTATGTTTTGACATTTTGAAAGTGGCAGTCTGACTTGTTTTCTGGAAATTGTCCTCTTGTTTTCAGAGACACTGCATTGCCCAGAAGAGGTTTTGGAGCTCTCTTTTCTCGACACCCACCAGATCACCGTAAAATGTTAGTAATTTACTAAAAATGCCATCAGTAATAGAAAATATCACATAATGAGTCAGGGAAATTTTATTTCCTGAAGTATGTACAATGGGTCAGGGAACGAAAAAAATTCTTAAGTACTCTTTGTTATATCTGCCAATCTTATGTTCTTTAATATAATGTTATTTTGCCCATTAATAAGTATGACACCTATTTTGATATAGTTAATATTATATGACAATTATCATATAATAATACATCGACTAAATTAATATGCTTTTTCCCATTTTTTAAAGGAAAGAAATTGTGAAAATAACATACCTTTGGTGACTAAAGGTATCTTGAGGCAATCTAATTTAGTGAGTGTAGTCCCAAATGAAGTTTAAAAAAAATCCACAATCAAAGATAGATATATCAGTGATGCAGAAGAAAATGAAGTACATCAAAAACTAAGATATCCAAAGCAGCCTGTGCATTATGAAGGAACGTCATAAACATGTATTATGAGCTAACGTTTTTACTTCAAGGATAGTAGGGATCTGCGAACTAAACAATAATATATACTTGATCTGACTGAGGATTTATCTGATAATATTTAACTAAGAGATCAGTAACAGGTCATTTAATCTCTCCTTAGTTTCCATATCTGTAAAAGGAAGGTAGCAATACCTGTGTTAGCTACCTCACAGGGATGTTGTAAACAAAACAATTTTCAGTACTATATAAATGTGAATTATTAAGGAGCAAGCTTCCTTGGGAAAATGGTCAAAATGATATTATACCATTCTCATCTCTCTGACCATAGTGCTCCAAGGGTGGGGAACCTGCAGCTTCAAGGCCACATGTGGCCTCTAGGTCCTCAAGTGTGGTCCATTGACTGAATCCAAACTTCACAGAACAAATCCCCTTAATAAAAGGATTTATTCTGTAAAACTTGTACTCAGTCAAAAGGCCAAACCCAAGGACCTAGAAGGCCATATGTGGTCTCGAGACCATGGATTCCCCACCTTGGTTGGACAAATTACAATCCAATGGTAGGGATATGGTTACTAGGGATTATAGCCCCTATTAAGTCTGCTGAGGCCCTGGTACAGTCTCCATAAGAATATTGTCATTGTTCAGTTGTGTCTAACTTTTCATGACCCCAGTTAGGGTTTTCTTGGCAAAGATGCTGCATTGGTTTACCATTTCCTTCTCTAGCTCATTTTACAGATGAGGAAACTGAAGCAAACAGGGTTAAGTGACTTGCCCAGGATCACACAGCTAGTAAGTGTCTGAGGCTGGATTTGAACTCATGAGGTTGAGTCTTTCTGATTCCAGGCCCAGTGCTCTATCCATTATGCCACCTAGCTGCCTTTCCACAAGTATGCTACCTATCTTAATGTAGTTAATATTACATGATAATTATTATATGATGATACATTGATTAATATATTTCTTTCAGGTACAGTTCAGAGCCAGATAAACCAAACTAAATCACCAAGAGACAATTGATGCCCCAGATATGAGCCAAAACCATACCAGTTTTTTATCTCCAGTTAATATTCTATAGACCACAGACGATCTAGGATAATTTCATTCCCTCCTTGGATGAACTATAGGCAGATGAGGATTAGTTGAATGAATTGGACGTGTATGTCAAGGAGAATAAGAGCCTCACTGGAGACAGGTGAGCTGTCTTCAAATACTTGAAGGCTTATGATTTAGGATTAACTCTGTTCTGTTTGGCCCCAAAGGGGAGAACCAGGAAAAAAAGGGTGGACTTTGTCAAATGCAAATTGATGATTCATGCCAGGGGGGAAAATAACTTCCTAGATATGAGAGGCGCTTAAGAGTAGAACGGTTGTTTCTTTAGCTTCCTCAAACTAGAGGCTTTCAAGAAGAATCAAGATGACTACTTCTTAGGGATGTTACAGTGAATATGGGTTGAACTAGATGGCCTGTGAAGTGCCTTTGACCTCTGAAATTCTGTGATTCTGGCTGTGACTCTAGTGTAAAAATACTTCAGAGATAATGGGTAAGTGGTGTGGTTAATTTTTATATTTGACATAACAATCGACAACAATTGAAAACATAGTTATAGAAGTCTTTCCCAATTCCATCTTTTTGGATGAATGGTCCATTAGGAAATAAGACTTCATTAATTAAAATGGTTGTTTAGAACCATTTGTTTGTTTAATTTAATTCATGAATGTGACAAGGTATTAAAGACATAAACTCTCAGTTTTAGTCAGAATACATACAGCAGAATACGTATGCCATTTTGGAAAATCCACTGAAATATATTATTTTAGAATATTCTCTCTTGAATATTAACTATTCTTTTGCTTCTTGCCAACTGTACAGCAGTTAAAACTAAATGTCAACAGGAAAAAGGCAATGAATAAAAATGAGTTTGTTCAATGGACCAGAATGATGTGTTTCCAGTTATTCTGGAAAACCATAATTATAATGTGACCATAATCCTCATGTTAACTCTTTTGGTGCAACAGTGTAAATATATAACTTTGTCATAAAGGAGACCTTTATCAGAGAGTATTAACTTAAATTTCAGGATCTGTCAAATTAATTATAATTACATTTGGCAATTTGTTTCTTTTTCTTTTGTTATTTTTTTTATATGAGGCAATTGGGGTTAAGCGACTTGCCCAGAGTCACAGCTAGTGAGTGTTATGTGTCTGAGGTTAGATTTGAACTCAGGTCCTCCTGACTCTAGGGCCAGTGCTCTATCCACTGCACCACCGAGCTGTCCCTCTTTTTCTCTATGCTATAACCTTGGACCTACTCAATTTTGGACCATTTTTATGAAGACAATGCTGCTTTTCCTTATAAATAGGCTTCAAAAATTCATAGAGGAAAAGAAAGTCTTAACGAAAAACTTTTGTAATCAGAGATCTGGGTTTGTTGGCTCTTTTTGAGCCAAGCCTTGATTCACCTTAAAGTGGTCATTCTTGTCGCTTACCTAATAGAGCAATCGTTGGAATATCTAGTGCTTTACATTTTTACAGAGGGCTTTCACAGATCCTTTTAGTCCATTCTGTAGTTGGAAGAATTCACCTGAGTTATTTTAGTAAATGACTTTATTTAGATCCGATCCTTACATGATATGCTCCCTGTCTTGCTCACTTTCCTTTGGACACAGCCCAGTTTGGTAATGTTCTTCCTAAAATGGCAACTGAACACAGTACTTCAAATGTGATCCAACCAGGACAGAATGCAGAGGACAGACACTATACAACCCAGACACTATGCAGCATGTAATCATATAATCTCTTCAACACTATGTTATGTTGTTGACTCATTGAGCCAGCAGGCTAGATCTTTTTCATGTAATCCTAATCCAAGTCTGTCTATCCAATGCTGTACTTGTACAGGAAATATTTTGAATCCAAGAATAAGACTTTACATTAAATTTCATTCTATTAGATTTGGCTCATTATTCTAGTTTTTTGAGACCTTTTTTCCAACACTGCCTTCTCATCTAGCATTCTGGCTTTGGGTCATTTGTATATCTGCAACTTATATTATCTGTGCCTTCATCCAAATATGCATCTATAATACCTTTGCCAAGTCATGGAAAAAATGCCAAACCAGTTCTAGAAATGTTTTGTAAACAGTGCCATCCTTTCTATCTCAAAGAAATGGATGCCAAGAAATAAAAAATACCATTATTATTTCCTTCCTCCTTAACAGTCAGAAGCATTAGCACATATGGCATTAGTGCAGCTATGCACTGAGTTCCTAGTCTAGGTTGAAACTCAGCATTAAAATCAAGAGAGGAAGAAATTGAGTTACTCACTTTTCAGAACTTGGTTGAAAACTTCAGGCACTCCATTTGGGACTTACATCTAAATTTAATATGTAGCTATAATTAATAGTAACATAATTTACTCTTTATGTTTGTTCATTCAACTAGTTCTAAATAGCCCTAACTAATATTATCCAGCCTACATCTTGCCATTTCCATAAAGACAGCACAAAACTCTGGCAAACGCTAAAGTTGTAGCTTATGTGTTGGTACTTTCCCTGTCTCTAAGTCTAGTTGTTCTGTTTACAAAGGAAATTGGTTTAATTTGGAAGAAGCCTTGCTGACACCAAGTGACCCTTTGCTTTGCTTTCTAAAATTTTGTGTACCTTCCCTCTGATAATATATTCAAGAATTTTATCAGTATTTGAAGTCAACCTCAGTGGCTTAGAACTTTGAATGTTCTCCTTTTCCTTTTTTGAAAACTGAGACATTTTCCCATTTCTAACTTTCTGGCCTCTCTACTATTTGCCATAATTTTTCAAGGATTGAAAGTTGCTCTACAATCACATCCATCAATCAATTACTTTAGTAGCCTGGGATGTAATGCTTCCTGGACTGGTACCTTGAATTTGTCTTGGGCAGTTAGATGCTTTTGTGTCACTTCTTAACTTACTTTTTTACAGCTCCCTGACAAGCATTTTTATTCTATCTTTTCTAGTCTGAAGATAATTTTCTTTTATAAAAAAAAGCAAAATAAAAGTTGAATAGTTCTGCCTTCTCACCATAATCTGTTATTATCATCTGTGTATGTAGATCAGGGGAATCGTAGAATCTAAAAGCTAGAAAGGAACTCAGAGACATCAGTTTTATTATTTTTTTAAGCCTTCTTTTCTGCAACATAGCCCCTCGCCTCCAAAAATCCCTGTTTTGTGTGCATTTATCACCAGCTTAAGTTGATTTTGAGCTTTATTACACTTATCTGCAATTACTTATCATTTCTTCCACCTTCAATGATGATGATGATAGAAAAAATGATACGTAGAACACTTTAAGGTTTTCAAATGGCATTCCTCACATTTCTGCGAAGATAAATAGTGCAGGTTTTAATATTTTCGTATTACAGATGAGTACACTGAGGCTCTGGGGATCTAGGGAACCTCTCCATAGTCACACAGATAGATAGTATCTGATAAAGAATTTGTTACATGTCATTAAAGTTTAAGTTGGTCACTGAGTTCCTTATATATTCATATTAGTCTATTTAGGCACCATCCCATTCTCTTCTTCATTGGTATCATTGGTGTTTGTAATATTAGAACGTCATTCTTGAGAGCTTCCTGTCTCTCTTGGGATGAAATCCCCCATGTATTTTATGTCTCAGTGAAACACATCAGAAAGTACAGTAATATGCTTATGATATTGAGGAGACAATTTTTGTAAGGATAAGAATTTTTCAGAACTGAAGATTTCTGTGTCATTGCCTTTTTAATATCATACAGTATATCTAGTTGGCATTTATATCTCAAATATCACCAAAGCACCTATGCCTCACATCAATCAATCTTTCTAATAGTTTGAAGAGATGATTAACCATGATGAAATTTCATTTGGCCCCCATGCTTTTGTTATCTCTTCCCCTGTTACTCTACCATGGCGACTGCTTAGTAGTAAGGTAATGAAAAGAATGCTAGAGTTGGACTTGGTGGAATCTCTCTTCAAATCCCAGCTCAACCTGTAACTAGCTATAGCCTTCCTGAGCCTCAGTTTCCCCTTCTTTAAGGCTGTTATAAGGATCACATAAGATCATGTATGGAAAGTGCTTTGCAAACTTGAACATGTAGCATAGATGTTAGCTGCTGGGTACAGATATCAATACGAGTTTACGTTTTCAGAACACTTCAGACTATTCAGAGTTCCTCCATGTGCATTATCTTTTCTTATCCTCACAATTGTGTAAGGGAAATAGAGCAGGTACTATTTTCCTCATTTTAACATATAAAGAAACTGAGGCATAGATACAGATACCAATTCCATTAATTCAAAAGTACTGAAATATCACATGGGTACAGATAATTTATTAAACCAATTAACTGTTAGGTTTAGAGAGTGAATCCTGAAGAGGTGGGTTACAGGATAGATAAGTTTTACTGGAGGAAAAGGTGTCAAAACCTTGGGATGGATGGCATTTAAACCTTTGGGGCAGCAAAGGATAGCATGAGCATAGTGTCAGGAATATAGTGCGTACTTAGTAAGTTCCTGTTTGACTGAACTATAATAAGGGCTTTAGTGTAGGGGTAGGTTAAATTCTGTACTATAGGGGGATATTATTTGGGAGATGGAAATGAAGATAAATTATGCCTATTTCACAGTTTTGTTCAATGTCAGCCTCTGGTGATGCTGCTGCTACTACTGCTATGGTTTCATTGATTTAGGGAACTCTTAGTGAGAAAACTTTCTCAGCCAATGCAGATCAACAGTCATTCTTTGACTTAACAGTCTTAGAGAGACCTGGAGCAGTTGTAGTTTAATGGATTCATCCCAAAGTGATATTAAAACAAAAAGGGGAAAAATCCATTTTTTTTGTGTATTGTGTCTTTTTTAAAAAAATTTTATTTTTTAAATTTTTTTTTCCATATGCTTTTGAGTTGAAAATTTTTCTCCCTTTTTCTCCCCCCACCCTCCCCAAGACGGCACACAGTCTGACATAGGCTTTACATTTACATACCCATTAAACATATTTTCACATTAGTGAAGTTGTAAGGAAAAATTAAAACCAATAGGAGGAACCATCAGAAAGATGAAACAAAACTCAACAGAAGGTAAAAATAAGTGAGAGCGATTCGACTTCCATAGTTCTTTCTTTGGATGTGGACAGCATTTTCCATCCCGAGGCCTCTGGAGATGTCTTATATCCTTGTAATGCTGAGAAGGGTTCAGTTTAACATTCTTAGTCATTGCATAACGTGGCTGCTATTGTGTACAAAGTCCTCTTGGTTCTGCTCACTTCACTCAGCATCAGACCATACAAGTCTTCCCAGGTTTTTCTGAAGTCAGCCTGTTCATCATTTCTTATAGCACAATAGTATTCCATTACATTCATATACCACAACTTGCTCAGCCATTCCTCAATTGATGGGCATCCTCTCAATTTCAATTCTTTGCCACCACAAAAAGAGCTGCTATGTATATTTTTGTACATGTGGGTCCTTTTCCCATTTGTTTGATCTCTTTGGGATATAGCCCTAGAAGTGCTATTGCTGGATCAAAGGGTATGCACATTTTTGTTGCCTTTTGGGCATAGTTCCAGATTGTCCTCCAAAATGGTTGGATCATTTCACAACTCCACCAACAATGTATTAGCGTTCCAATTTTCCCACATCCTCTCCAACATTTATCATTTTCCTGTTTTGTCATGTTGGCCAATCTGATAGGTGTGATGTGGTACCTCAGAGTTGTTTTAATTTGCATTTCTCTAATCAATGTATTGTGTCTTTTCATGAATATTGGTTTATCTTTTGTAGGCAACATATGACGACATATCGTGAAGAATATGTTCCTCCCTATGATTACACAAAAGTTGTAAGTATGAGAGAAAAGAGCTCCATTAAGTGATTTTTATATATTTAAAATACATATTCCTATCTAGACTAAATAATCAAGTTTTGAAAGTAAGAAGAAACTGCTAGAAATGCTATATTTACATAGTGCTGTTAGCAACAAGTCTGTGGAAGTTACTAATAATTTTGAGTAGTTTGCAGACTGCAAAGAAGAAAAAATTTCAGTGCCTTAAATGTACCATCCACTTTCTTCCTTTCTTGCTTTACTGCCATTCAGAACTTAACATTTTATGGCAAATAAGATTTTTTTAGCTTTCTTTCCATCCTTGCTTCTCTACATCTGTACTACATAAAAAGAAGTTGCTGTATGTAGTTTGGGGAGATGTGGACTTTAAAGGCTATCTTAACACTTGAATATACTTTGCATTTTTGAAAATATATATTTATGAAAAGGGAATTTCAAGGGGCAGCTAGGTGGCACAATGTATAGAGCACTGGCTCTGGATTCAGGAGGACTTGAGTTCAAATTTGGACTCAGACACATAACACTAGCTGTGTGACCCTGGACAAGTCACTTAACCCCATTGCCTAACCAAATTTTTTTTTTACAAAGGGAATTTCAGTATTTGTTATTTCCACTTGCAATAGGAGTATGGTGCTGCTCATTCTCCTGTTCTTTAAGGTATTTGACTTCTCTATGAAGAAAAGTTTTATTATAAATTAAACTCATTCCCTGGTATCTTATCTCCCTGAGTCATGTAAGCTACCATGCAATGATTGGGGTAACAGCAAGCTCAGCTGGTAAATGGAGAACGCACAAAGCAGTATGGAGGTCCAAGGCTGGTGGCCTGAGGTCTGATTAGGCAGCTCAGGCTTTAGACAGGTCACAGTGGCATTTAGGACTCAGGAAGACTTGTTCTGATGGGCAAAATTTAAGACACATCTCTCAGACAAGAGAGTTTTCAGCCAGGGATACGGGACACACACCAGAGGGAGCTCCCAGTGAGTTTGTTGCTCTAACAGGGCATAGAGGCATCTGCTGCCCTTTTATCTTTGGCATTCTTTTCAAACTGATTCTATCCCTGAAAATAGACAATTTAGACCAGGTCCTTAGGGAGGCCCTGAGGTCTAAGAAGGTATAGAAAGCTTGAATGGAGAAATTTTGGAAGAATCTCTATGGGGAGTGGGATAGAGAATCAGTTTGGTAGGAGTAAAAGAATTGTGCTGCTGAGGTGGGCCCAATTGAGGATAGATAATATAAATTTGCAATGGTTGGTTATGTGATTTCCTCTAGTTCTATTTAGCAGTAAAAACTATAGAATTATGAGCTGCTGGATCAAAGGGTATGCACATTTTTGTAGCCTTTTGGGCATAGTTCTTCTCAAAGGAACAGCTAATGATTTTGTGAGCTGTCTCTTTCTTTAAATTCGATTTTATTTTCAGTTCCAAATTCTCTCCCTTCTCTTCTCCCTCTCCCTCTCAAAGAGAAAGCAAGAAGAACAAAACCCATTACCAATATGTATAGTCATGCAAAACAAATTTCTGCATTAGCCATATTTAAAAAAAAAAAACAAGAAAAAGGAAGAGAAAGAAAAAATATACTTCAGTCTGCTGAGTTAATCAGTTCTCTGTCTGGAGGTAGATAGCATATTTCACCATGAGTCCTTTGGAATTGTGGTTGATCAAAATTACTACGTCTTTCAAAATTGATTATCTTTAAAATGTTGCTATTATTTCATAACTTGTTCTCCTGGTTCTGCTCACTTCCCTCTGCATTGGTTCATGCAAGTGTTCCCAGGTTTTTCTGAAACCATCTCCTTCATCATTTCTTATAGTACAATAGTATTCCATCACGTTCATATACCATAACTTGCTAAGCCATTCCTCAAATTGATGGGCATCCTATTAATTTCCAATTCTTTGCCACTATAAAAAGAGCTCTCATTAATACTTTTGTACCTATGGCTTCTTTTTTCTCTTTCATGGATCTCTTTATCATATAGACCTAATAGAAGTGTTCTTGGGTCAAAGAGTATATACACTTTGATAACTTTGGGGGCATAGTTCCAAATTACTTTCCAGAATGGTTGGACTAGTTCACAGCTTGTGGCCTATTTTAGTGATAACTTCATCTTTCAAAAAGTGAAGGACGGAATGAGAGGAATCACTGTTCTGGATCCAATTCTGGCCAACAAAGGTGAACTGGTTGCTGGGGGGGAAATAAGGTGAGGCTTAGGGAAAGTGGCAACTCATCTTCAGAACTATAAGAGGAGTGAGAGAAAAAGAGTATATATATCTTTGAACCTCACATCAACCCTGTGAAGTCATTGCTATTATTATTCTCATTTTACAGATGAGGAAACTGAAATTTATGAAGGTTAAATTACTTGCCCAGGGTTATACAGTAATTATCAGATGCAGGTTTCAGACTTGGATCCTACTGACTCTTTTTTTTTTAACATGTTTTTAAATTTTTATTTATTTTATTCTGAACTTAAGAAGTAAAACTAGAATTTCCATAGCATGGTAGAACAGGAAAAAAAACAACAGATGATTGTACATGAAACTATAAATCTATTATGTACAACTTCCTATTCCTTTTAAGTATATAATAAATTGATCGTGTAACATTTTTCCTTTTTTTCTTTCCTCCTTTCAGAATGTGTGAATATATAAATGCCTATAATAATATAATAATGTGTCTGTAGTACTCAAAATGACCTGAAGATAATGGGGAATGCTAAGGAAAATAACCCATGAAGTCTTTTATGGATGTTTTCAAAGCAGTATTGGGGAAAAATTAGAATAAAAAAGGATAGGACTGCTGCTTAAGGTAGATGGAGTGAGGATAATGGATGATGGAGAGGAGACAGAACTATTCAACTCTTACTTTAGCTGTTTTCTCTGCCAAGTGAATGGCTATTTTTTTTCTGGAAATTTTTAGAGTATTCTTTTTCCTGTGTGGGTTGGACTAAACGTCTGAACTCTCCTAGTTCACCCCACTCCCTCATCACCTCTGGTCTGGGCTGATGCCTTCAAACTGGTATCTCTATCTTCATTCTTTGCCCTCTTCCATGTGGCTGCCAGATTGATATTCCTAAAAAACACAGATCTGACCATGTTCCTTCTCTGCTTAAGAAAATTCAGTAACTTCCCAATGAAGTAGCTCAAAAGAAACATGAGATGTACAAATTTAGAGAATCCACGTCCAATGTTCACATGGACTATGGGACTCCGACCTGTCGCAGAGCATTCTGGGCTCGTATTGTTCTGATCAGCCACAGTTGGACACATTGTAACTTGACTCTAACGTAATTTTGGTCCTCTTCGAGAAAAAAGACAACAACCAGCTTCCAGTTACCTTTAGGATAAAGTCCCTCACAGTCTGGTCCCAACCTGTCTTTCCATACTGTATTCGTATTACTCTCCATTACACATGCTAAGCTCTAGCCAAATTAGCCGACTTGCTGTATTCACTGTACACAATGATCCACCTCAAACCTTTGGTCCTTTGCCTCTCTTATGAAGAATGCTGGTCTTTTTCATCTCTGACTCCAAATCCCTAGTTTCCTCCAAGTCCCACCACATGAGGCCTTTCTGGTCCCCCCTCTCCCATTTGTCATGCTCCTCTGTGAAATCACTTTATGTTGATCTGCATAGATGTTGTTTCCCTGCAGAATGCAAAATCCTGGGAAGCAGGTACCATTTCATTTTTGTTTTTTGTATTCTCAGCACCTAGGACAGTGTCTGGCACATAGTAGATACTTAATAAATGCTTATCGAAATGAAGTCCACTTCTGAGACCGATAACCTGTGAGCATAGACTTGCTAATTCTTTCCTTTAGCCCAGATCAACAAATGTAGTATGTAAAGTAATTTAGAGTGAAATGGTAGCTGCAGTTGCGGAGACCTGAATACGTATGGAAAAATGAGTCTATCCTTTCCATTCACTTCCACGCCCATTTCTACTTTGAGGGTTCTGAGTACGTGCACTAATAGAAGCCTGAAGCCAATGTTTGCTTAGAGTTTTCATTGCCAATAGTCTTAGTTGTTAGCAATGAGCATGAGAAGAGACCTATGGGCCAGGATTGCCCATCAAAGATGTATGTCAAGGATTGTGCCCATTCCTAATAGGAAAATAATAGTTATTTATATTTGTCTTATACTGTTGCATTTAAAATTGCTGGGGTACCTTTGCCAAGTCATTTCTACCTTGTTAGAATTACAGTTCAGCATATAAGGGGATGTAGTGGTAGCTAGATGTTGGGTAAGTACTCAGAGAAGCTTGCAGAAGCTCATTTGTGATAATCCTGTTTTTCCCACCATCTCCCTCAGTGATGTTGGATTGGGCTCTAGCTATTATACATCAATAGAAGATAGACAGAAATGCCACAAGAGAATTAACTCTCCCTATCCCCCTCCAATCTCAAGGTTTTGTATATTTTCATGGTTAGGACTGATACTGCTTGGGAACCAGGACATAGGGTACATCTGAGAGGGGGTCTGAGGTACAGTGCAGATACAGCCTTAGATAAGTCTATCTAATTCATCAAAATTAAGTTCAGCCCTTGTCATCGGAGGCAGTTATCAGGGTAGTAGGCACCTTTATGACAGATTGTGACATCAACCGAGTTAGTCAAGCGTGATTTCTGAAAGCCACCACCACATCGTCTCTCACAAGAACCAACATCTTCCCTACCTGGGGAGAGTCATCAACACTATTCAATTCATATCAATAAACAGATATAAAAAGTACCCACTATGTGCCAGGCACTGTGCTTACTGCTCGGATACCAAGAAAAATAAACGAGACAATCCTCGAGGATTGTCCTCAAGGGTCTTATGTTCTTTTATCTTTCCTCTTCTTTGTTCCTGCCAGTGGGAAAAGACTAGTTATTAGTACCTCTTCTGAAGGGTAACTCATACCTTTTCTAGGCCCTGCCTGTCTTTTTGACCAGATGAAAAGGAGTCCAGGTGTCAAGGTCCCTTCTATTACAACCCCTGCTCTGGGGTAAGCTGGAT